AATGGTCCCGGGGGGGGCAAACCCCCCCCCCTCGGGGCCCGCCCTGGGGAATGGGGGCGCCCTCCCCCCCTTGCCCCCGTTTTTTCCGGATTTTCGGTGAAAATTCCATGGCGGGGATCATTTTTGGAACCCAAAAGGATTTTTCCGACTTTTTTGGGGGGGGTAAATGGGGGGGGGGGGGGGGTGGCGCAAAGAAAGAGGACGGGGGAATTGTGTGTTGTGTGTTGAAAAACACTTCGTATGACCCGCAGCGAAAAACTGGCTGCGACCAACGCAGCAAAAACCGACAGCAGCGATAGCGGGAAAAATCAACACCCCCCCCGGTCTCCATATCAAGACAAGGGCGACGCCCACGAAGCCTAATCAACAACACCAAACCACGACCAAAGGCTGAGTGACAAAGGCAGAGAAGAAGCTAGGAGACCTCAATCCGAAGAGCGGGCGACGAAGATCACAACAACACAAAACCAACGACTACAAGAGGCTGGGTGACAATGCCGCTGTAGCGGAGAAGAAGCTAGGAAGGTCTCAAACCAATCCAAAGAAGTGGGCGACGACGACCACACCAACACCAAAAACCAACGACCAAACAGGCCGGGCGACACAACACAAACAGCGGAGAAGACGCTCGGACGTACGCACCGGCGCCACCTCCTTGAAGATGAAGAGCCACACGCCCGCCACGTAGATGCTGAGGATGTTGACTATCGTCAGGCTCATGCTGATGAGGCCGATCATCACGTACTCCCTCACCTGTCGGCGGCGGCGGCGGCGGCGGCGGCCAATCAGACACGGCAGACACGAAGACAAGTTTTCAGGCAGAGGCTTACGGCCGGGAACCGACAAGGTCCTTTTCCCTATTTTTTTTTTATCACCTAATTCACACTACCGCGGGACAAACCAAACCATGTACTACCTACAATCCCGCGCGCGGATGATGCCCGGGAATTCTCAAGTCAGAACCGAAATAATGGTGCCCGGTGTGTGCAAGCAAGCAGGTCCTGCTGTGCCTGCTGACACCAAGGCCAACGGCTCCTCCCCAACGTTGCACCCAATCACCGCCGCCACCAACGCTCACACCCGCCCGCGCCCTACCCCGGTACACTGCTGTCCAGGCTCAAGAACACCGGAGAGACAAGGTGAAAAAATCAACGACCTAGGTCTATTTTTGAAGTCCGAGAGCCACTCGCTTGAAACTCGCCCGCGGTCGGAATTTCTAGCACTGGCCTTTTTACGGCGCGCTGCGCCAACACGCGCAAGATTGCTTTCGAAGGCTTTCTGCTCCTATGCGAAAGGAACGTGCGGGGGGGTGTCGTAGAGTGTAGCGTAGGTAGTGCGTTGTAGCCTACCCCCCGCGCTCACATACTTGTTCTCCTACTCTACGGCGCACGTGCGCCGGGCGCCAACACGCTAGAGATAACGCTTGAAGGCGTTCTGCCCATTTGTGGGTTTTGGGGGTGTCGAGGAGTGAAATGTAGCGCGTTCTATTCGAGCCTACCAAGTAGCTGGCGGCACAGTGTAATAGCTGTTTAGCCGCACAGAATACATGGGGGGGAGGTGGCTGACTCAAGCAAGTCTGTTTCACGTTAATGTCGAAGCTGCGGACGGCCGGGCCTATGATACATGGGGGGGAAGCGGTTGACTCCAGTACGCCTGTCTCACATTAATGTCGAAGCTGCGGACGGCCGGGTCTATGATACACGGGGGGGGAGGTGTGACTCAAGTAAGCCTGTCTCACGTTAATTTCGAAGCTGCGGACGGCCGGGCCTATAAGCGCCACCGCCAGGCACAGTCCCGTGTTAACCGCCGGAGGTAGGAGGGAGGCAGATATCGCCACGCCCACTAGACTGTTTACGTTTTTGCTGTTGAGGGAGACGTGGAGAGTGAGTGTGAGAGAGAGACAGAGACAGAGGGACACACACACAAACAGGGAGGGAGAGAGGGGAGAGAGATAGGCGTTTAGGCGGGGAGAGAGGCATACAGCCAACACAGACAGCGACAGGCAGATCGAGAGTTCAAGACAGGGACAAAGAGAGGCAAGGCAGCGATACACGAGGAAGGAAACAAAAACTTTGACAGAGCAAGAGTTCAGGGGTACCAAGATAAAATCGACCAACGAACGGAACGGGTCCACCGAGGTTCAGATACAGGACGAGTCGAGTCACAACGACAAAAGACAATGAGTTAGCCTAATCGAGGAAATGAGACATGAGGTAGCAACGGATGCACAGCAGTGCCAGAGATGGGCTCCCGCACCCAGTGCACCAAAATTGGAGGTGTAAACTGACGTGATGAGCGCGTCCCGAACATTCCCCATTCAACACCCCTGTGGCGTGGTCCCGACCGTTGGACAAAAGTTAAGTCTAAAGACATCGTTCTACGCCTAATAGACCAACTGTTGTCCAATGTTCGGGACCACGCTGCAGGGGGTGTTGAGTGGGGGATGGACCATTCGGGACGCATTCATCACGTCAGCTTACCCCCCCCCCCAGACTTGGTACAACCATGGGTATGGGAAGCGATCTCTCGCAAAATGCTTTGCTAAATAGTTTTGGATTTTGGGGAGGACGGCATTCACGAAACCGTTTCTGTACATGTAAGCGCGAAGCAAAACAATCGATAGATTGACACCACGTGTGTTCCCTCCAGAGTGGGCTCGTGAGAGCACAGCAGTATCACCAAGGGGTGGTGCAACATGAAAAAATAAGTAAATAAGCAAGCACCTCAGGACCAACCCACAACCGACTGCCAGCTGCGGAGCGACGTTTCCCAACAGCTCACGCAGCAGTTCAACGTTTTCTTCACTCGAACAGCCCACCGAACGTCAATGAACAAAATAAAATAATTCCAGACCCCATGGATAGATATGATGGACCTGCGGTGATACTTCAGGGGAAAAAAAAAGAAACAAACATAAAAATCTGCGCGCAGTGTCAAAAACAGGTATAGTCGCACCTCAAGACCGACAGAGCTGCCATCGAGCTATACTACCGCCATCCTTGTGTAACAAAAAAAAAAAAAATCTGTGCATAGTAGTCTTCAGCAGGTAGATGTAGTCGCACCTCAAGATCGACAGAGCCACCGCCATCCCCGACGGGATCGCGATGGCGATTCCCGTCAGCAGCCCCCAGGCGTTCCCGCGCGTCTCCATCTCGTGTGTGGGCCACGTGTCCGCCTCGATGAAGTTCACGCCTACCATGCCCACCAGAAACCCCACCCCGACGCAGATGAGCAGCGAAAAGGACTGCGAACGACGAACGTTTGGCGTTCAAGGGGAGTGGGGGGGGGGGGGGGGGGGGGAGGGAGAGCAAAGAAGAAGAAGAAAGATCAAAAGCAAGAAGGGAAGGG